CTTGAAAATGTATAAATGAAACATGGACAAGATCACAGGTCGCAGAGAGAGGGATTCCATCCCCGCTGAYTACGGGGTCTGCCTGGAGGACTGGRTGGAGGTGTCTCTGTGGCTGCATYCAGGCTTGGCTGCAAAGAATGCYGTGATCAATTAGTGATGCCTGACAAGAGCACAGGAGGGGCGAATGGGAGCATTTGAGTCCTTTATGAACAATCTCCTGATGACAGGACCTGTATGGRTTTTGACAGCCTTCAGCTGTTCTCAAGGAAAAAAAAAATGAAATGAATGTCCAAGTGTCTGGTGTGGCCAAGGATAAACACAGATTAGAAGGAGCTTTTTAGAAGAACCGGAACCAGCAACAGATTCCACTGTGCTCTGCGTTGCATTTACAGCTTTCATACCACCCTCCTCTGGTATGCATTACATAATGGTGCCCCTAAACCACCTTTTGTACCCTAACTCGAGGCTCTCAAACCTTAGCTTACAAATGAATTTTTCTAGGGTAATGTGTGCCAGCCAGTGGTTTACTCTTGGCAGCTAAATGCGTCTGCACTCAGGTCTTTGGGCAATTCATTTGAATATTTTATTTCCTTTATGGTTTTGTAAAAGGAGAATAAAAATGAAGTTGTGGATTCCAGTGGAGGGAATGTGGCTCTGCTAAAAGTAATTGAAAAAGCAAGAGCATTCATTTAGACCTCTAAACAATAGAAGGGCTTCAAAAATAATCATCAGCCACTTAATGAACCATGTCATTGTAGTGGTCAAGGAGTCACTTAYGTAGATTGCCTGGGTACAGCCTGGGTACATTTAGCCAGGGTCATAAGTGACCCCCCGCCACCTACCAACACCCTAGAGAGACACCCAGTCCACTCCATGGAGACTGGGCAGAGCAAAACTGGCAAGGTTAGTCACATTAAGGCAGTCTTGCAGGTGAAGGACAAATCTCTTAAGATTTTGAGTTGTTCTTGTGTTTGACATGGTAATGTTCTGTTCCTTAAATTGTCTGAGCATGGGAGGTTAAGGTGGCTAAGCTRGAGAGATATCATGAATCTGGAAGAGGTCAGCTCCTGGCCATTGTGGATAAATTAAATCTGTCACACGACAGAGCAACTGGAAATTATTCTGTGAAAGCAACAAATGGTTAGCCTCAACCTGTCTTTTTGTCAAGTTAAGCTCACTGACTGGGGACTGGCGTTCATCTTGGAGGAAAACAAAATCAAGAATTGATATGAGATGCTGAAGATCTATCCTAGCTGGTGCCTAGAAAACTAAATGAAAGTGCAGATTGTATAGGACTAGGCAGGAACCATCAACCATTTATTGGTTGATGGCCTCTTATTTATTATTAATATCAATTGCTGATATTAATTATAATAAGTATCAATTGCTTTCTTTTTTATTATAAGTATCAATTGCTCTTCTGTGTTTGGCTTGTGTGCCCCTTTTCTGGCTCATATATGACAGCAAGAAATTATGTTGAGTATGTGACATGTCAGTTGAACCAGTGGTTGACTTGGAAACAGGGATGCAGGAGTTGGTGGCTCTAGGGACAATGCCATCATTGTCGTTGCTTATAGGAGTGGGTGGATAAAATGATCCGACCTTCCAGGTTATGTCCACAGGACCCATCATCATTACCCCCCTGTTGGCCCCGATTTCCTACTTTCTGAGGTCTGGGTTTAAATCTCTGCTTTGTCACATATTCATGGAACAACTTAGCTTCTCTAAGAGTCTCGTCTCCCAGATTGAGAAAATAACATGGCGTTCCCGTGGCTCTCCTGATGGGTGAAAACGTGATCTTGGAGTCAGGCAGGGCTTGCTGTGAATCCCACATCTGGTCATCATTTGTTGCTGGGTGACCTTGGACAAATTAATGGTGACCTCTCCCAACTTTCTCATGTGTAAAAAGAAGACAGCTACACCTTGTCAGGAAATGAAGTCCTGACCAAATGCGATCTTCATGTGTACCTGGCATAAAGCAAGGACCCTGCTTCCCTCTTCCTTCCATCCCCGTTTTCCATGTTCTGAACTCCTCTTATCCTCTGTGAGCCAGCATCTCCTCTTTGGAGGAGCCTTCCCTGACTGCTCTTGTCACGAGCTGCTTCCTCTCCATCCTCTTTTGCCCTCCCCTGACTCCATGACCCCATTATCTGTTTTCTGCATGTCTGTCTTTTCTACCAGTCGAAAAATCTCTTGGAGCAGAAATCCCATCCCCCGAGTCACCCTTATTTATACATTCCCAGGGCTTTGCTCAATGCTGGGCCCTTAGGAGCATCTGCGGTATCTGAGGGAGTGGAGCGAGTAGGCAGATGGCTGAGCAAATGAATGAATGAATGGAGCGAAGGACTGAACTCTCCTGGCCACGGAAGCCTTGGGCTGAGCAGGAATGAGAAGTGAAACCAGAACCAGGCTCAAAACACAGGGGTAAACTGAGTGTGCACCATCACGGAGGATCCTTCATCTCTGTGTCTGCGCATTTGCCGGGAAGGCCCGGACTGTCCTCGGATTCCTCAGAAATATCTCTGGCTTCTTGCCAAGTTGCTGGTCTAAAGTGGTGGAGCAGTAGGCCCTGCCCTGGGGGATGCAACCAAGGCATTGGAGAGGAGGTGACAATATCAGACCTGGCAGGACACCAAGCCCCACAGGGACCTCAGGTGGGAGGTGTGTCCAGTGCCTGCGTGCAGCCCCCAGGACTGAGATTCTGGTAGCGTGCAAAGGTCTGCCTGATCCCATCTAGGCAGCATTTATGCAGGGAAGGTTTGTGTGTCTTCCACGTGCCTCAGCTCTTACCCGGAATCTGCCAGCAGAAGGGGTCTCTCAGGTTCATTGGATCCAATCACCTGCCTCTATAGCTGAGCAAGCTTAAATGACTTCAGGCCCATGCCAGCGGCTTTTCCACCCCAGTTTTCTTTTCTCCCCTCTCCTCCCTCCCTCCACTCTGTTCTCTTCTTCCTTCCCCTCTCCTATCCTATCTTGGGATCTAAAACCTTGATTTTTTTTATTAAGAGCAGTATTTTTTTTTTTTTCAAAACTGTGGGTTGTGGCTCATTGGTGCATTAGGAAATGGATTTTTAAGGATCGTGACCAGCCTCTTAGAAAATGAAACAGAAAAAAAAAAAAAAAAAAAAAAAAGAAAATGAAACAGAGCCGGGCATGGTGGCACACACCTGTAATCCCAGTGACTCTAGAGGCTAAGGCAGGAGGATCACAAGTTCAGAGCCAGCCACAGCAACTTACCAAGGCCCTGAGCAACTCAGCGAGACCCTGTCTGTAAATTACAATAAAAAGGACTGGGGATGTGGCTTAGTGGTTATGCACCCTGAGTTTAATCCCTGGTACGAAAGAAAGGAAGGAAGGAAGGAAGGAAGGAAGGAAGGAAGGAAGGAAGGAAGGAAGGAAGGAAGGAGAAAGAAAATAAGAAAATGAAATGATGCACAATATTACCATGTATCACACATGCAACTGATTTTGTGAAACTTCCTTTTCAGTTCAGTGTGCACTGGGTTGTGATAATATATTTCTTTCCATGGGCTGTAGTAAAAAATGCTTGACGAGCAGTACCATCAAGCCGACTGTAGGCCTCGGTAGGTATTTTTTAGAAGATTCAGTCCTTGAAGGGACAGTGGTAAGAGACAGTGCAGGGCAACAGGCTGCATCTGGAGTCCATTCTTATTTTACTAGGAAATTCTTCTTCCCATTGGTCCCTGCGGGGCCCACCACTGTCACCGGTTTTTTAAATTATTTCATTATGGTAAGAATCCTAACATGAGATTTACTGCAACATATTTTTTTTCTTTGCATGCAGTACTGGAGATGGAATCCAGGGCCTCACACATGCTAGGCAAGCACTCTACCTCTGAGCTACATTCCCAGCCCTCCCTTAAATTTTTAAGTGCGCTGGGCTGGGGTTGTAGCTCAGTGGCAGAGCACTTGCCTAGCATGTGTGAGGCACTAAGTTCAAGCCTCAGTACCTCATAAAAATACATAAATAAAAAATAAATGTATTGTGTCCATCTATAACTAGAAAATATATTTTTTAAAAAATTAAAGCCGGGCACGGTAGCACACACCTGTAATCCCAGCAGCTCGGGAGTCTGAGGCAGGAGGATCCCTAGTTCAAAGCCAGCCTCAGCAATGGYGAGGCCCTAAGCAACTCAGTGAGACCCTGACTCTAAAGAAAATACAAAATAGGGCTGGGGATGTGGCTCAGTGGTCAAATAACCCTGAGTTCGATCCCCAGTACCCCCAAATAAATAAATAAATAAATATGAACTTTTAAGTGTGCAGTACACTACTGTTGACTCCAGGTACAGTGCTGGACTACAGATCTCCAGAGCACATGCCTCTTACTTGATAGGAACTTTATGCCCTTTGACAAATAATTCCCTGTTTTTCCTCCCTCACAACCACCAGTTCAAGTTCATTCTTTGATTCTATGAATCTGACTGTTTTGATACCTTGTATGAGTGAAATCACACAGTCCAATGGGCTCTTAGTGTTGCATCTGTGGATTTTACCCAAATAGATAGAAACTATTTTTTAAGACCTGAGGATGTAGACTTTTCTGTTGCTGTTGTTCCCTAAATAATGCAATCAAATGACTTTTTTTTCCCCCACGATTGAATTGCATCAGGTATTATAAGACATCTAAAGATCATTTCAAGGATACGAGAGGATGAACCAAGGGTCTCTGCAAATACTAGGCCATTTTATTCATGTAAGGGCCATGAGCATCCACTGATTTTGATACCCATGGGGCTGCTGCAGCCAACCTGCTTGGTTGCCGAGGGATGGCTATGTTTGTTTTTCTGTGACTGTGATACACAGATGAATAAAGAAAGAAAACATAGTGTGTACATACAATGACATACCAGTCAGCCTTCACAAAGGACAAGATGTGATGTGCAGTGAAATGAATGAACTTGGGGATGTTGTGCTAAGTGAAGTAACCCCGACACTGTCACCCCTTCTTGAGTCTGTGCTCTCCTTTTCCCGGGCAGGTTGTGTACGTCACTGCGACATTCCCCTACGTCATGCTTCTGATCCTGCTGATCCGAGGGGTGACGTTGCCAGGGGCCTCTGAAGGCATCAAGTTCTACCTGTACCCTGATCTCTCCCGGCTCTCAGACCCACAGGTAAGGGCTGTCTACTCAGTGTCACCCACAGCCAGTGGAGGAAGCTTTCTGCAAACCCCCAGCACCCCCAGAGGCTCAATGGCCAGTTAAACAAGTTGGAAACCTGTGGACCTCTTCTCRGGACACAAAATTTTAATGCGTCCATTAAATTTGTAGGAAATCAAAGATATCAAAATACAGTTACATTTATAAAAGGCAAATTTGTCACATTGGATATATAGGCACTTTTTTTAACAGTACCTTAAATAGCAAGATCCACAAGCAGGTCTGACAACTACCAGTTGAGGATTCCTTATTCCAAGTGCTTGAGACCAGAAATATTTTAGAATTTGGATTTTTTTCTAATTTTACAATATTTGAATATACATGATGAGATATCTTAGGGAGAAGACCCAAATCTAAACACAAAATTCATTTGTTTCATGTATACCTTGTAGACATAGTTCAAAGGTAATTTTATACAGTGCTTGTAACAGTTTTATGCGTGAAACAGTGTTTCATGGTATAGGATTTTTCTCTTGTGACATATGGACACTCAAATTCCAGAGACTCAGGTGGCTGAGGCAGGAGGATCACAAGTTCAAAGACATCCTCAGCAACTTAGTGAGGCCCTAAGCAGCTTAGAAAGATCTTGTCCCAAAATAAAATATAAAAAGGGCTAGGGATGTGGCYCAGTGGTTAAGCCCCCCTGGGTTTAATCCCCATTACCAAAAAAAAAAGGTCAGATTTTGGATTCTGGATTAGTGATGCCTTGTACTGTGATTTCAAAACAACTCTGAGCATACATGATATTTTGAGATGGCAGTGTCATGGTATGAAAATATCTAGGCTTTCCATTGCTAATGGTACTGGAGGTTATTGCCTGCACTTGCATTCGTAATTGAAGAAAATGGTAAATTAGGAGTTAGTTGAAAGTGCAAACTTTTTTTTTTCCTGCCCAAGAGGACAGACCTCTGCAGAGGTGCATCTTAGGGAAAGAAACTACTTCCTGCAGGGGTAGCTTGCAGAAAGAAAAAAAAAAAAAAAGAATTGGAGAAATTGGCTATCTTATTAGTCGTCTTTGGAAAGGCATTGACTGGCCTGAGTTTTTGCCTAAGCTTCTCTAAGTGGGTGCATGGTGATGTGCCTGGAAGTTCATTAAACAAGAGATGGAGACTGAACACCTAACCTGCCAAGCCCAGTGGCTCTCAGCCTCCACTACATGGCAGAAGTTTCTGGGGAGCTTTTAAACATTCCAGTTCCAAGAGCACAGCCTAGACCAATTAAAAGAAACTCTGGGGATCGTTCCCAGGTATCAGTATCTTTAAAGTTCCCCGGGCAATTTCATCAMGGAAAATAACGTACTCAGAAGACATCTGGGTGGGCGAGGAAGCACCCGTCTTTCTCTTAAACATCGATGGATCACAAGCAGTCTCTGTATAATGTTCAAGGAGAATTGAAACTTGGGAGAACTTGCAAACTTGAAACTTGCAATGTCAGATCTGTGGTTTTTGGCCTTCCTGTGTTAGGGGAACTTGGGTGGGAATGTCCGTGGAGTGCTGGTACATGGACCTCATCACAGTGAACGAAAAGGGACTGTGGAGTGGAAAGAGTGCTCATTTTTGTCTCAGTGTGCCCTGCCTTGCAGCTCAGGGCACCTCTAAGCACCTCAAGTGCATCCTGAGCTGTAGGCAAAATTCCCAGGAAGAAGGAAATTGACTCGTGACCGTTGGTTTTGCCAAACCCAGCCTCTCAGAGCAGAGGCTCATGTGAAGAAGCAGCTTTAGAAAACATTGGTCTGTGTATTTTTGTGAGATCTGTACTTTCTCTGCCTTGATCCAGAGCAGATTTCCTCTTGTCTCTTCTGCTCCTGGACTTCCTTTTCCTGGTCTTTGGAAGGGGTGGTCTTGAGCATTCCCCAGAGTTTCTAAATCTGATTAATTATCAGAATACCTGGGAGAATTTTTATTTATTTAATTTATTTTTCACTTGTAGTTGGACACAATACCTTTATTTTATTTTATTTTATTTTATTTTATTTTATGTGGTGGTGAGGATCGAACCCAGGGCCTCACAAAAGCTAGGTGAGTGCTCTACTACTGAACCACAACCCCAGTTCCTTGGGAGCTTTTTTAAAAGGAGATTCCAGGCCACAACCCTGGAGATTCTGACACCTGGGCATCTATCTGTCTGTTTTTGTGTGTATGGACAYAAAATTCAGGATCTTGTACATGCTAGACAAATTTCTCTATCACTAAGCTACATTCCCAGCCCCTGAGCATTTCTGTTAAGAAGCTTCAGAATGGGTGAGGATTTATTTAGCTTAATGGCAGAGCTCTTGCCCAGCATGCACAAGGCCCTCAGTTTGGTCCTCAATCCTGAAAAAAATAAGAAGCTTCAGAGGTGATTTTGATGATGGAGAAAAAAAAAAAAAAGGTTGAGAATTCGAGTACTCTGGTGCATGCCTGCAATCCCAGCTGCTCAGGAGGTTGAGGCGGGAGGATCACAAGTTCAAAAAATAAATAAAAGGTCTGAGCATATAGCTCCATGCTAGTGCACTCCTGGATTCAATACATAGCATTGTAAAAAATAATAATAATAATTCAGAAAATCTGGTTGGTACCTATGACCTTAGAATCCTATACAGAGAGAGACGGACAAATAGGAGCACAGAGGTAAGGCCAAGCCATTCACCGTTCATCTCTTCTGCCCTAATCATCCCAATTTCCTATCATTCCCTTCCTTTCAGGCCCCGGCTTCCAGGCCAGTTTGTACCCACAGGGCTGTTCTGTGGAGCAGTCATTTGGAGTATCAGAGAGCACACTGAACTGGGAGTTGGGAAGTGGGTTCTCCTGGTTCTGCCACTCATCCTGACCTTGGACAAGTTCCCTCCCTTTCCCATTCTGGGCCTGAGTTTCTCGCTTGATGGTATGAAAGATTGAATTCAGTCTGTGATTTTTCAAAGTGGAGCCAGACAGGCCACTTGTGCAGGGGCTGACAAACTATGGCCCTTAGTCCAAATCCATCCCTCTGCACATTTTTATTTTGACTCCTGTCTGCAGGAGTCCAAACACCTCTGCTCAGGTGTTTTTCTTRTTTTTCCATTAATAACAGATTGGTAGAATCAGCAATGCTACACAATGAAACTCCATGGAAAAATAGAATAAGCTCTCCAACGATAGATATAGAAATGAGTCTGTTGGTKGCTTAAAAATGCAAGGTGCTGAATAACTTTTTTATTAGTACCTTGCAACTTTATATAATGGTCGAATTGTTACATATTTGCACATGTGCAAGATTTAACAATATAATCTGACACTGAGTAACTTTTAAAGTTTCTGACATTTTTTTTAAAAGAAGAAGGACTTCAGAGTAGATATTCATGTTTGCTTGAATTTGCATAAACTAAATAAAAACTAATAGAAGTGATTATTCATAGCGAATGGGCCCAGAATTTTTTTAAAAAGAAAAGTCTATTTTAATAATTCCCAGTCATATTTTCAGAGTCTGGAATTTTTATGGGGCATTTTATTGAGTCCAGTTATGTCTGCCTAACATGACCCATTCCAACCTGCAGAATTCCAGGCTCTCAGAAGGAAACGTGGGCCCTACAGATCACACAGCTCGTACAAATGGTCTAGGTGTCAGCCTCAGTGGAATTCAGTGTCCCAGGCATGCAAAACAGCCACCGCAGGGAGTGCCACGGGGAACCTCTCAAAAGCTATGTTCCCAAATATCAGCCAAGAGCCAGCCTACAAGCAGGCTTTCCCTGCATACCTGCAAAAACTCAAATATTTACTCTTTGGCTCTTCCTAGAAAAAAGTTCRCTGACCTCTGCCCTGGAGAATCCCCATTGGGCACATGAGCAGGGAGAGTGGCCTCTGACCCTCACATGACCCCACTCTGTCCATGTGGCTCTCTCTACTTGTGCTATCACCACCCTACTTCAGGCCACCACCATCTCCCATTTGAAAGCTAGACTASTAGCCTCCCAACTGGTCTTCCAGAAATGACTTTTGACCCCTCTAGGCCACTCCCCATCTAGCAGCAGAGTGATCTTTTTGAAATGGGAATCCATCAGGCACCTATTGCTTATATCCCCTCTAGGGTTCCCTGTGGTCTTTGGAATAAGATCCAAATAGTAGGGCCCCAACGTCTTCCAGAAGGCTCTTTGTTGCTGCATTCCCTGTTACACTCTCCCTCTTTCAATTCATTCTAGATAATGGCCTCCTTTTGGGACCACAAATACATGTATTCCTTCTRCCTCAGGGTCCTTGCACATGCCTTTCCTATATTGGAACTGTTGATCCCTTCCCCCACAGAACCTGCCTTCCCCACTGTGGCTAACATCCACTTGTGCTTTAGGATTCATTTCAACCAGCCTTCTCAAGCAAGTCTTTCTCAACTGCCCACCATGCACCATTACCACCCAGTACTCCATACTTATTTTCCAAAGAACCTATGTTTGCAGTGAAATATCTATATAATTATATGTGTATGTGTGCACATTTTTATTCATTTGATATCCATGTATTTAACAGGTATTTTCTGAGTGCCTCCCTGGTGTCAGACATTCTTATGGGTATTTAAGATATGGTAGTCAACAAAACGGATCCCTGCCTCAGGAAGCTTATATCATAGTTAGGGCAGAAGGCACTAACAAAATTGAAATGCAAAACCTAGAATCTACTAGATGTGACAGGTACCCTGCAGACAAAGTAAGGCAGAGAGAGGGSTGGAGTGCTGGAGAGAGAGAAGGATACTCCACAGGGTGACCCAGGAGGGCCTGGCTGAGGAGACAGCTTGGGACAAAGTCTCATCTGTCCTCCCCACCAGTGGCCCGGTGCCCAGTACATAGTAAGGTGCTCAGTAAATATTTGTTTCAATGAGTATAAGAGACAGAGCTCTTTCAGTGTTTGAAAATGTTGTGTTTCTTTAACAAAAAGTCTAGTAACCTCAGGTTAMCAAATCTGTAAGCTGTAATGTGCTYTGATTCTGTCTTAGTGATGGCAGGAAACCTA